GGGCTGTGATTTTCACTCAGCTCTGTCGGGTTTCACCGACTCCTGTCACCGCTCCACGGGCTGAAGTTTCACTCAGCTCTGTCGAGTTTCGCCGACTCCTGTCACCGCTGCACGGGCTGAGGTTTCACTCAGCTCTGTCGGGTTTCACCGACTCCTGTCACCGCTCCACGGGCTGAGATTTCGCCGATTTCCGTCGCGAAGGCAGGGCTCGACGTGGCACTCGATCCTGCCCGCAATACCTAACCGTCCCGCCTGACATTAGCTCGTAAGTGCATGCGATAGAGATTAAGGCCGCTAGTTATAAGTTAGTAATTCTAAGATCCCTAGTGGTAACCGCGCCGTGTAAATAGACCGTTGTCGACCGCACGCCGCACCCGTCCTGCGCATCTCATCGCCTTACGCCAATCGGTTGCGTCTCCGCTTTGCTACCAGCGACACCGCGACATCATCTGGCTCTGCACTACTCTATATCTACCTTTCCACCAATAAGCGATCTTTTCGCCGCCACTTGTGTTCGCGTACGCTTGAGTCTCCCCTCCTCTCGAACCCGGACACCGACGAGCCGACCCGAGCGTCAAGCGAGGTGACCGCGTCACAACTTCGTTATGTTGTCAAGATTTTTCGATTAGATTGTACAAATTAGATTGTAATGTTTTATAATTAATTTAATATCCTGGTAAACAATTTACGAATAGAAATTAATATCGAAGAATATAAGAAAACAAAATCTTAGTATAGCTTCTGATTTAAGGGGATGCTAACTGACGAGCGAACTCCGATGAAAACGTTCACACATATGCACATCTACACATACATAGATACATTTATGTATACATACATACACTTATACATTTCTGTACACACATGATATACATATGAACGAATTTTTGTATAATCTTCCTATTCGTAATAAGTGTCTAAGCCTAATTCTAAGAACTCAATATTGCTTCTTCATGTAACCTTCTAGTCTAGCAATATCAGTTTTGTAGATACAGGCTGTAAAGGTTTCACATAAAGCAAATATTTGCGCGACTTGACAGCTTTGGATGCCATTTTAAAGTACCTAATGGTAAAAAAGATCTAAATTATAAAAGTTTTTCTCGTTTCTGATATAAAATCCACCACAGACAAACACATATTAATGCATAAACTTTAATTCTGGAGAAGCATTTCCAAATCTATAAGATTAATAAAAAATGGGAGCGATACAAAAATTATTGCATTCTGTCGGTAATACAGACAAGTTTAGCATTTTATAATTTCTATTAATTATATCAATAAAAAAGAGGATTACCTTGGATTTTATATCGCTGATCACATCGAGTATTGCGTTGCCATATAACCTAATGCCAGATAGAAATCGAACAAACTCAACTAAAAAAGAATTACACTAGGGCTTCATGGTGCGTTCAACTTAACGCTTGCAATATTAACTTAGCGTCAGATATAAATATCAAATTAGAATTCTTATAATTTAATAACACTGTATAATTAAGAATGATAATATCTGTATAATTAAGAATGATAAATAATATAATAATAATTATATTATTATCGATAATTTGACAATATTAGTCGACTAAAAGTCTAACATAAAAAGTCGACTTTAATATCCTTGGAAATAGTTGACTTTAAGTCGACTTATTGTAGACAAGTAAAGTTGTAGACAAGTAAAGACAAGTAAAGTTGACACAAATTATTACAGAAATAGTCGGCTAAATGTCGACTTTACAAGTCGACTTCAAGGCGACTAAAAAAAGTCGACAATTAGTCGACAAACAGTCATTTGTGCTGTATGAGGAGTCTATTCTTTCGTCTTTCAGGTAAACGTAACCTAAAAACGTCAAAAGGACAAAGTTTACTAAATGATTTATGATATTATATCAAAATCATCTTATTTTTGACCAACTTTTTCAGCAGGTTTTTGTCGACAAATTTTGATAAATTTCATAATATTTGAACTGAAATATTACAGAAAAATTTCTGAAACGTTCATATACATTATTTTACATATTATATTTTCAACGCAAAATTTATGTTTAGGTAAGATGGAAGATGATTTGATATATTATATGTACAATGCAAATAGCTGTACTAAAAATCAAATGTGTATCGGACAATAATCCATTGTTACTCCGAAAAGTTATTGCAATAAGAATGTTCCACTTTTTATTAATTCAATAAGTTTCGAAACTATCCTCTATACAGTGATGCTAGATTCAAGACGAGAGTCACGAGAGAGTGGGGGGTCAGGGAGTGGGGATGCCGCACACAAGGAGAAAGCATGTCCGTGAGAGTTCGGAAGTTCGGCCGCCGTCGGATAATAGACGAGGCTAGCAAATGTAGTCCTGACTCTTTCACTCTTTATTCTCATAACTAGCCTGCTCCTTTTTTCTGACCATCGAAACGATCGCGCTTTACGATATAGGCTACGTTCGCTTTAGCGCTTACAGTTGTAAGCATTATATTAATAACATTGACATACAATGTTCGTTATATTTAAAAAAAATGGAAATTATATCTGTTATTAGAAAGAATTATATTATATCTATAATAATTAGAAAATAATAAAGAATAGATATAAGAAGATAGAAGATAGAAAAATTAGAAAAATAAAAAATTTTATTATATTTTTTTGTATTTTTGTATTTTTTTGTATTTTTTATATTTTTTAATTTTATCTTTTATTATATTTTTTACACATTTATCTTTGTAACAAGTGTAATATGTGCACATTAAAACAAGATAAAGTCTTGTACAGATGCGATGTTCTTTATAGATATTGTATATTATTTATTTAAACTTATTGCTATTATTATTATTTACTATTATTATTAGTATTTATTTAACTTAATGCTTTAATGCATTTGATAAAACACAAGCAATTATCCTTTTTATTGTTGCATGTTAGAAGATGGACCAGCAATATCGTCTGCAGCATGTAGGTGAAAACTTTTCTTTTGCTTTACCGAAGAAGTAACATATAATTTATCTGCCGACATAAAAGATAAATGCTTTTCATCGAGCTTCATGTTTAAAGCAGTTTCGTTTCTTGCTTTTAATGCTGACTTCAATAACACACATGGCATTTACAGTAGTCG